TCCCCCCAAAGCCCCAGTAGATAGTTGTATGTCATAGGTTCACATCCTTCTAGTTGCTGTACGTGGGACTCAGCCTCACGTTGGACGGAGAAGTGGTGCCTCGGGGCGCTCCCGGGATCCGAACCCGGGCCGCCAGCATCAGAGCGCGCGCACTTAACCGCTAAGCCACGGAGCCGGCCCTACACACATTTCTTAATTTGCTTATCCTTGGTCTATTGAACAGCTGTCCACAATGGATATATTATTCTGTTTACACCCTTAAATTCATATTGCTTACACAGAATGCCACTTCTACAAACTGGTCAAGTAGGTGGAAATATCTTATGAAGACAAAGCATGTATGTGCACATTTGTTCTCCCTCTTTGGAAAGGTGAGCAGTTTTGAACTTTTAACTCTGAAAGAGTCTAGGTCAGGGCTGTCCGATAGAGCCTTTTGCAGTGATGGAAATGTTCTATATCTGCACCGTCCAAAAGGGTGGCCACTAGCCACACCTGGCTATCGAGGACTTGAAATGTGACTAGTGTCACCAAGTTGATTTAGTTTAATTTAGTTTTAGATTTAAATAGCCACATGTGGCTAGTATTAGACAATGCAGGGTCATTTCCATTAAAACAAAGTGAGAAAATCTACATGTTGCCTTGTCCTCACATTCAATTTGGGATTGTACAGTCATATTTTCAGTGTACCCTGTAGAGCATTATAACCCTTTTTGGAAAGGAAAGCCCAAGCCAACAGGGGTTTGTTCTCTCATAAAATGACTGAAATGCTGCATCCTTGAGCATCTAAGACTTGAGCCCCCACAAAATTCCCATGAGATGAAAACTCAGACTTGATGATCCAGGAACATCTAAAAGATCATTCTATCTTAGTACACGACACATGGGAGCTCTTCACCAAATAGCGAGTGAGTCCATAGATGGGGCCTGCTTTTGTCGTGGATGGCCTTCTCCTCACCTGGCAGGTCTCAGCTTACATATTTCCTCAGGGAGCTTTCTGTGACCCCTGTCTCAGTCGGCTCCCCCTGCTCAACATCCCCCCAGCTCCTGCTTTGCATGCTCCCTGTTCACCCTCATCACACCTCTACCTTCTCTTTCTTGCTAGATTGTAAAGCCCGTGAGAGCAGGGACACGTATCTTTCTTGTTTATCACTTTATCTCCAATGCCTGCCATATAAGCAGATTCTAAATAATTATTTGTTGAACGGATGAATGTGCTGAACCACAGCTACTTACCCAGACCAGATGCAGACGAATCTGAGGGGAGTTAATCTGAGTCACGCTAGTTCTTAAATTATGGACCTGCGGCTGCTTAAAACTTGAGTCTTAAATTTACTATTCTAAGACGCATTTTTACTTCCGGTGGAGTTCAGCTTTAAGACTGCACTGGTAAACAGAGATGGAAACGTAAGATAAAGCAAATACCAAATTCTGTTTATAAATAAAGCAGTTACTAATTAAGATTTTTGAAAAAATCTTTTTTTTACATCATACCCTAGCTGTGTCTCTGCACCAGCACCAGCGAGTCCTGCAGTCACTGCAGCCCACCGTGAGGACAGATATTTTGGTCATCATGTGGATATTTATTTTTATCTAATATTTACAATTCTACCAGTTCTGATTCTTAAATTCTGTTTGCCTTGAATTCTAGGATCCACCTCTGATGTTCAGTGAAGAGTATCAGAAAGGTCTGTTAGAACAGTATCATTTGGTTCTGGATCAAAAACGCAAAGAATATGTGGTTGGAGAGCTCATCTGGAATTTTGCTGATTTTATGACTGACCAGTGTAAGTGACAGTTTGGTTTATGGAACGTGTCATTTCAGTTCAGGACATTTTGTTGTAAGAACACTGGACACAAGAGGGAGAAAGCTAAGCTAATCCATGTAGGCTACATAGAGAATTTCCTAGGAAAAGTAAGTTGTGTTTAGCAAACAGCAATCACTTGCCTGCTTCTCAAATCATTTTGTGGTAAAAACGTAAAAGGGAGAGTCTAACTTGCCTTTTTCTGTTCCACAGCAGCATAAGGAAAAAGTGGACCTCATATTGGATTTACTTGTGAGATACACTCTTTATTTCAGAGTAGGGTACAAAGCCCAAGAAACTTAAGATATTTCAGTCTGTTTTATATTATTCACTTGTAAAAGGCAGGTTCATCAAATACAGGTAAGTTTCAAAGCGTTTTGAATGTGGGAGTGTATAAAAGTCTTCAAAGAGAATACGATCTGTACTCTTTCTCCAGGGGGATAGATGAGGGCTACTTCAGTTAAGTTCCAGATGAGTGTTCCCCATTTCTTTCTTCACTTATAGGTTACTGGTCTCTTGATATACCGTGAACTTAGGATAGCAATTTGGGAAGGCGGGGAAGGATTTGGTAGTGGTGGGAATTACATTACTTATGGGAAAAGGCAGGCCTTTGGAAGGTTAAAGTTTAATTAAAAATTTAGAATGGAAAGAGGTAAAGAGAAAAAAGAATAAGAACATGAGCCTCTACTCTGCTTGGCAAATGAGATTAATGGCTTCTGGAAATATCCTGGATGGCAATCTAGTTTTGTGAACACCAGCTTTAGGTATACCAGCTTTGTGTAGTAAATTAGCCGTGTGACCTTGGGCAAGTTACCTAACCTTGTCATAAGCCTGTGAAGTGGGGATAATGCTTACCACCTTGCAGGTTGATGGAGGGATTCCATTTGATGAAGTGCTTGGCACAATGCCTGGCATTTGCTTATCATGGAAGAAATTATTGTTTTGAACTTCTCAGTGGGAAGGACCTACTTTCCATTTAACAAGCTGTGGTTTCACTAGGGGTTGGAGAGTGTTCTGAGAGTGCAGCTCTGATGACTGTTGCCAGTTTTGCTCCCTTCCCAGCTTCAGCTCTGGCAGACCAAACACCAGCGGTGGGGACCCAGCAGAAGTCTGCCCGGGGGGACTTGGATATCTTCTAGTAGGTCCCACCCAGGCGCCTTTGACTTGTCAGCACTCTAGCTGCCACCAGGAGAATTGTCTCTTCAGAAAGGCCCAAGCCTTTCCAAGGGTAACTTTCAGTCCCACTCCAGTTGCGAGGCAGCTGCTACCCATAATGTTTTAAACTTTATTTTGCAAGTAAAAGATAAACAATTTTGGATTTTTTTTTCCCCTAACAGACGAAAAATTAACACACCAGAGAGCTGAGGTGTTTTGGGGGAGCGGTAGTATTTAAATCTTTAACCCATTAAGTGGCCACTTCAGATACCATTTCAGACAAAGCAACCCTAAACTATAAGAGGACATTTCTATTTAGTGCTGCCCAGCTTGGCTCCAGGTGGTTCCGACTGGGCCCATCAGAAGTCATCTGAAATACCTTTTGCCTTGTTTCTAGCACCGCAGAGAGCAATGGGAAATAAGAAGGGGATCTTCACTCGTCAGAGACAACCAAAAGGTGCAGCGTTCCTTCTGCGAGAGAGATACTGGAAACTTGCCAATGAAACCATGTACCACCGGTCAGCTGTGAAGTCACAGTGTGTGGCAAACAGCCCGTTTACTGTTTAAACAAGAACTACCTCTCTACTGAAACCAGCTCTGTCAGCCCCCTCCTCCCCAAGTAAGGGGCGACTGCCACAGCAAACAGAGCAGTGCTTCCTGGACTGTGCATGGCAGACTGGAAAGTTTCTGGTCTGGATTTTGTAGTAATCTGCTAAAAGGAAACAGAAGAAGTGAAAATAAAGGCTTTTGTAGTATGGGAATAAAGAGTTTGCTTAAAAGTGACCATCCGTAAATCTGTATTGCTGAAAAGCATCTGAAATTATTATGTGTCAGGCTGTTTTCATAGTGGTAACTGTGTATGGCTTCTTGAGAAACCTCTGCTTCAGCACTCACACCACATTCAAAGACGCTGGGTACAGACTGTGTGCTTCCACAGGAACAGCCCCGCAGCCTTAGGGCCACCCATGCTTGTGTACTGAACCAGGCCAGCCTTGACTGAGTGAGAGTAAGACAACTGCTGTGCAACTCCACAGATGAGCTCAAGTCCCAGCAAATTTACAGGAAGTGATATCATGCTGGAATAAGGAACAAGGTCCATGTACCAGTTCCCACATAGTTCAGCTGACAAATAGGCATAAGAAAGGTAAGAAAGAGTTGAAGAATGTCTGAACCTGAGGGGAGCTCAGAGGTTACCAGTTTCCCCAGGACGTTGTTCCAACCTCAGCATAGTCTAGTCTTGACAGAAATGGACAGATGGGCATAAAAGCCCACTGGCCCCTTCACAACTGACTCCACTGAATGTAACAACACCTCTTTAAACAACAGCCTGAGCCTGCGGACAAATACTCCGGGCCTGTGTACCTCCGGGTGACCCCACCTGCCCCGCTCCCAGAGGGTGAGTCTTCCCTCCTCTTCTTCCACAGGCTCCATTAAGGCAGGTAAGGTACATTATTCCTAAGATTTCAGTAGTCATCAGTCTTGGTTTAAATTTGAATGCTTTGGAAAAATACTCCTTTTGGTGTCCAAATGGAAGACCATAAACCAATACAGTTAATACAGAACTTGATTCACTTCACTTGTGGTTGATTCCATGTCTCAACACACACCCTTTTTTAGCCTTCTGTTCCAAGCTCCATGAAAGAAACAGTAAAGATAATTTAACCTCATTTTAGTGGCCATCTACACCATTTTTAAGAAATGAGAGTGTAGTCAGTTCAAATAATAAGTTAGGAATTCTAGGAGTGACATATTTCTTTTGTTACCATTGATCTTTTCTTAAGTTCCTTGACGGAATCAAGTTTCACATTACAGTTTATTGTCAAGGAGTAATATATAAAACTCTTTAGTTGACATTGAAAAAAATTAAGCATAACAGACACACTTAAATGTTTTACAAGTTAGGGGTAAGGTCGATTTCTTAAGTCCTAAGGATCTAGCACAGAACACATTTATTCAATAAAATATGGCTAAACTGTATTTCAAATAGATTCATCTCTTGCAGATGTTACTTTTGGAGAAGACTAAAGAGTGGAGTATTCAAGGTGAGCGAAAGCGGTGGAAAGACAGCTGTTTCATACATTGTGTGCTCACATAACTTAGCAGTAACACCTTTTTCATTAATTTTTGACAACCACATACATCATAGACCCACAGGAATTCCAAGAACTAGAATCTCTAAGAACTCTGCTTGTGTCTTCTATAAGTTACATATAATTTAAGACAAAAAGAATCAACTCAGTACACCTGTAGAAATGAGGTTACAGTATCAACTTCAAGAATAGTTTATAAGGAGACTGAATTCATTTCAGCTTGTTTTCTGAAATATAATACTGCAGTATAAGAATGATGGCAGCACAACTTCCACAGGTAACTTCTACATTTATTTTATACCAAAAAAGTTATGTGCAACAAATAAACATTCTTACATATTTACATTTGTTTTTACCAGTTAGCAAAACTGTGTCCTAAATCTCTCATAAAGAATATTTCTATCTATATTAAAGGGGAAATCTGCCCAGTGAACTCCATATTAAATGAATGTTTACTTTGGAGCTTAAAGCACTAGTAATAAATATTTTTGATGGAACATACTATACAGATCATACACCTAATACTTAGGCCATGCTTAATACAGTTTCATAACAAAACATTTCACTTTTTCTGGGCTAATTTGTCGAAAAAATGTTTAACCAACTAGCCTGGACTCCCACCCTCTCCCCCTTTTGTTTTATTGAAGGGTAGTTCTCACAAATTAGGAATCATAAGTGCTGCCTAAAATCTCTGAATAGAAATGTTTCACCAATGCTTGCGTGTTGGGGGAAAACACATGAGGACAAAGGTTGCATATTAGATATTCCTTTCCATATAGGTTGCCAAAAGTGATAGTGGGTTTCTTGTTGGCATTTATCTAATACTGATTTTCAAGACAAGATCATTATTCACTGGTGTCAAACAGTGGTACCAATCTAAGTTATGAAGTAACTGCTGAAGATAACTTTGCACTTTTGCTGATAGTCTTAAAAATAAATATAAACGAAATACAAGCAAACTAAAGCCAACAAACAGTTTTAATTTCACTGTAATCTTGATCCTATATCCTACCTAGTAGGTCCAAAGATCTCTTGTACCAAATCACAGATCTTTGTCTCTTTGTATGAAAATAGTCAATGCTTTCAACATCTTGAATGGATTTAAGGAGAGGCTACATATACCAAGTAAAAGTAGTTCCTGGCACACAGCTAGTTAAACCTGAGTTATTTCACCAGAGGTTTACCCTAACTGACAGCAACTAGCTGCAAGGAAAAACCAAATGAAGTCCTCCAACCCATCTAGATTCCCCAGAATTTATCATCAAACCACAACTTCTCATTTCTTCAAATGATATGACTATCAAGTAAATAAGAGGCTTTGTCACAAATCATTTCAAAAACCAAGCAGCATGGAATTACCGCCAAAAACAGAAATTCAATTTTTTCCCTAATCTGTTCTTCAACATTGGTGGCTAATAATGTCACAATGTTTAAATATTCAGTCTAAAATAGTCATAACAATCCTCAAATTTTATAACACGGTGTTCCCCACCCCCCACCCCGGGGTAGAATAGAGGATGTAGATGGGAGCCTAAATTCTCCCAGGGCAAAAATACCAAATAACACCCACCGGGGTTCTGTTGCTTACCGAGATACGGTATGACAATGCTGTTATTTCAGGCAGCACATGCTCATCACTCAGTGAGAAAAAGGATATTAATTCTACTGGGGTCATAGGAATGTGGCAAAAATTTTTGTACAACTGGAAACAGTGGTGTTTTCCCCAAGGCTTAGGAAAGCAAAGGAAAAACTTGAAGGGTCTGGCTGAACATTTTTACATTTTCTCATGTACGAGTTGAAGACATTTGCAAGAAAGCAACATCAAGACAAGCTTTAACTATACTCTGCTGATTGATACAAAATATGATGAAAGACCATTTTAAATTGGGACACAAGGAACTTGTTTAGCATAACCAGTGTTATATATACCAAAGAGGTCTTAACTGTTAAGCCATTTTCACTCTGGCTTAGACAAAAGAACCAGTAAACTACTCGGTAGAAGTGGAAGCACTGCGACAAGATGCTCTCACTGCACAGTGCTTCAACGCTAGGACCCCTATCTCCATGAACACCAGACGTCCAATCAAAGCTTTCTTGAGTTCTTGTAACTTTAGAAACGAGAACAATACATGTAATAAAACAGGCATTGAAATATTCACATTCTTGGGAAAACATAAGCTTTGTTGAAATTGAATTAAGCTATCTTTTACAAAACTGGTTAAAACTGGTTAAGAGTTCATTACAATTCAAATTTTATACCTGCCTTGGGCCAGAAGAATACATTGCATCAATTATGACAGTTAGTTGGAAACTGCTGAACAGTTGCTGACTGTACACATTATGGTTTACAGAGCAGAGCCTGGCCCCTCCCTTCAAAAAGAAGGCAAATAAAGCACTCAAAAGTTACCAGTCTGACTATTTTTAATGTAATGATTAATCCAATTGGAAGCAAAAACATTGCTGCTATTTCTCAATCTAAGGAATAAAATGATCATACAGAACCTTTCTAATAGAATGCAAGTTTTCTACTTCATGGTAAGAAAAGAAGGAAGGACACTTCTGCCCAAGTTCAACACACAAAATATTTGGTTTGAGATTTAAGACAGAAGGCACTTTTAACATTCTGATATAAGAGGCTGACCAGAGAAACATATTGTCAGAATTTCATTTTGGTTTATTCAAATCACTTTTAAAAATTCTGCATTTGTGCAGCTATTAGAGGAGTGACACCATTACTGTATTTCACTTTCAGATATTTCTACCTGTAGTACTCCTCTTGATTAAGCAAACTGAGCAGTGTGTCAGCCCTCAAGTTTACAAATCCAATATTTGACTCTAAAACAATTAAACTAGACATCCAATTAGTTAGTGGAGAAAGAAACAGGGAAAACACTACAGAGCTACCCAAGAGCAATCCTACTCTGAAGTGACTGAGTGTACACTGGTTATTTCAAAGTCATAATACTGTTTGGTTGACTGGCACCAATGTTAAGGAAAAATATCTGCGTGAAAATTCAACTGCTGTAAGAGACATTACCTAAAAATACCATATTAATATTTCCAGCTTTTCTCCAAAGAAATCTACCCTTTTCCCCATCTTTAGTGTCCTGAAGGCCTTGGACTTGAAGGTCTGGTCACATGACTCATTCTGTAAGGTTACAATTGATCCAGTTTTATGACTAGACACAAGTTTGACTTGAATGTCCAAACTTAGTTTCTTCCTTTCAGAGGAAGGAGATGAAAGGGAACTACCACCCTGTTACTTTTGCTGTCAATGCTGGACCTACAGCTGTCAGCACTTTTCACAAGATGCTCTGTGTGGACTTACTATAGTCACTATTTCTTCAGTCAATGTTGAGCTGACAATTCTTCATTGCTACACTTCAACTAATCTGTACAGTAAGTTCTGCAGGGATGGATCCAATATTTCTACCTTTATTTACAAATATCACATAAATGGATTCTAGTTGAATCTACATGTTTAAATCCATCAGCTAAAAACATATTACATATTGTAAACATGGCAATATTCAATACAGTATCTATTCTAAAATATTTTCATGTCATGATCACATATGTTATACCTGAAATTGAATTTATACACATTAGAGAATTACTAGCAATGGTTGCTCACTTTACAGTTGAGGGAAGGGGGCTAGGGCTTCATTTTATTATTTCAGAAACATCTTCAAAGTACAGTTAAAGCTTGTCTTTAATTGGCTCGGCATATCCTTTTTTTTGTATCCATATTTAAAATGAAGATTGACACAAGAAATAGCTAGGGCCCCTTCTAATTTACAGGATTTTTAAAAATCAGTTTAAGATTCTTAGGGAAAGTGTCTGTTGTGAAGAATAAAAAAAAACTGCTGCAAAATAAACTTAATGGAAAAAGGGACTTGAGACTGTCAGTTAAGAGTTCGTCAGCTTGTCAGTCCTGCTTGGGCTGCAGTTGCCGTTTCCAGGCCTCATTCAAGTAAACTAGTCGTTTGTAGTTGACGATAAGAAGAATGAAGTTCAGCACATATGTGATGACGAAGATGATGCAAAACTCCTTCAGCACAAAGTACAGAATGTAGGCCAGGTACAAAGACCCGACGACAGACACGATGGAGGACGTCATGAGGATTAAAGCTGCGACTGCACTGGCCGTCATGCCTGCAAGAGACAGAGATGCTTGGCTCAATCGGACCTTGACATGGAGAGAGTTTCTGAGTTAAAAGATAACATTTTGTGATTTCCTGCAGTGTTGGAATACTGATCTTAATACAAAACACTATGAAATCTGAGAACAAAAACTACTGGTCTGTTTTGTTAAGATTATGCATGTTGACTTTGCACATAGGATACCAGTTTTATAGCTGCAATGTTTTTGACTTGTCAATATTCTAGATGAAATATTACTTATTTCATAAACTAGCCTTAGTTAGGGCCCGCAGAGAAAATATGCAATCTTGCAATCACATTGTGCAAAGAAGGTGATTTGTAAAATTGACAGCCCCACCTCTCCTAATGAATAAAGGAACGTGAGGACCACAACCTTCTCTTCCAAGAAGGACACATTTGGTGAGACCCTCCCCTGGCCTTTTTGCTATAGGCTCCCCATCTGTGGAAAGTCAAATTTGTTTTCCCACGTTTAGATGAAATTTATCAAAAATCCATAATGGGAGATGATGACACCAATATGCTGCTGAAAAAGGAAAAAAAGATCATGATAAACATTTCAGAATGGGCTCACCCTGGAGGATAAGGGAAACAACCTTTGGCCAGTTGGTCACACGTGGGTCAAACCAGATAAGAAAAAAGGCAGTTATGTGTGCTAAACTGGGGCTCTCAAGACAAAAGCTTGCCTGAATTCTTGATGCTATCTGACAACTTCACATGTATTGTTCTGTAATTTCCTGTAGCCAACAGTATTGTTGTGAACTTGTGCATTTATTTTCAAGGACAGAGGAGACAGCAGAGCATATTAAATTACCCTCCTATCCAACAACTAATGGATAGGATAACAGAATCAGGAAGAAATAAGTATAGGTGGTAGTAGATTTGAAGAGGTTAAGGAGCTGAAATCCTTGCTGCCTGTTGAATGTGAAGTTGCCTGTAGGGGCAGCCTAGCCACATGCCCCGGGGGCCAGTCAGTACTCGAGTATGATGCTTTAACAAGGCTGTTCAAGACTAAGATGCTGTTGGATTACTTATGCCAGGCACTGGCAAATCTGAATGGCCACCTGCTTTTGTAAGTAAAGATTTATTGGAACCCAGCCACGTTCATTCATTTATGTAATGTCCGTGGCTGCTTTCGCACTAGAATTGTAGAGTTGAGTAGTTGCGATAGCCAGCAAAGCCTAAATTATTTTCTATCTGGTCCTTTCCTAAAAAAGTTTGCTGACCTTACCTATGCTCAACATCTAAAATTAATGCATTCAAAACATTCAAAAATTAATGCTGTCACCTTAATTTTATCTAAGAAAGTTGGTTTCAAAATGATACAGACAAGTTATTTATTTTCTCCATGTGGTTCTTTTCCTTAACTGTAAAATTGGGATAATAATCATTTCTACCTCCTAAGACTGCAGATTAAAAGAGCTAATAGGTATAAAGCACTCAGAATGCTCGATAATCACTGGCTATTGGTTAAATACTATTGTACTAAACCTGTCTTAACGTAATGTAACTGGTAGCTTGAGATAAAATTCCCAATGAAATTTAAAATGTGCAGTAATTCTAAATAAATGATGGTACATTCAAGCAATGGAATATTTTGCAGCTGTAAAAAAGAATGAAGACACTTAAAGGACTGGTATGGAAAGATCACCAAGATACATCAGTCAAGTTAAAAAAAAAAAGAAAAGTAAGTAGTAAAAAAAAGTATGTAGTACAGTGTATACAGCATCTGCCTTTTATATTTAAAAAAGGAGGTAAATTAAGATTATATATTTGTATTTTCTTGTATATGCCTAAAGAAACTCTACAACAACAACAACAAGCTACCAGTCGGGGATGAGAAGCAGCGGGAAGTGGACAGAGGGGACAAGGGTAAGACAGACTGCACTGTATAGCATTTTGTATTTTTTTTACTTTTGAACCATGTGAATGTATTACCTATGGAAAAATTAAATTAAAAATGCTGTATTCTCAAACAACTTCGAAGGGAGTGAAGATGATGTGCTCTGGAAAACTGTGTTAGATGAGTTCAAATGTGCCTCCAATGGTAGACACTGACATTAAAAATGCATGTGAGGGCCGGCTCAGTGGCGTAGTGGTTAAGTGCGAGCACTCCACTTTGGTGGCCCAGGGTTCGTGGGTTTGGATCCTGGGCGCGCACCGAGGCACCACTTGTCAAGCCATGCTGTGGTGGCGTCCCATATAAAGTAGAGGAAGATGGGCACGGATGTTAGCCCAGGGCCAATCTCCCTCAGCAAAAAAGAGGAGGATTGGCATTGGATGTTGGCTCAGGGCTAATCTTTCTCACACACACACACACACACACACACACACACACAAAAACACATGTGAATGCATAAAATGTGACTAGAAAAAATACATATGATTTAAAATATGTGTAATAATGAAATTAAGAAATTAAACATTATAAATAGAAATTTGCTCCACCTCTATCTCCAATAACAGCCAAAAGTGTTTCTTAGGCTATTTTAATTTGGGCTTATACTTTATATTCTTCTTTAGAAATCCAAACAAAACAAATAAATGGAATGAAAAGTGACTCTCACCCCTGGCCCCCAACCACCAGACCCCTTTTTATGCATTATATAGATATATATAAACATTTAGTTATCCTATACCTATTATATCACAATTTGCTTCTTTCACTAAGCTATGTGATCTTTCACTAAGCTTGATCTTTCCAGGATATACATGTAGACCGACTTTTTCCTTTAATGGCTACATAGTATTTTCTAGGATAGATTTAACCTAATTTATTCAACCATTACATTTTGCTAAGCTACTTCCAATTTTTTGCGATTTTAAACTGTACTGCTATGAATATCCTCATGTGTATTTTTGTATTTCTGCAGAATAGATACGGAATTGGGCAAACTTGATAGGATACTGAGATAAATTTAGATTCACAATTTGCCTCAACAAATCAACTCTAGCTAGACAGAAGAGCTGGCAGATAATAGGATGAAATATTAAAAACCGAATGCAAGGGCAAAAATGGAGGGATTTAACTCTAAAATTATAAAAACTTTTGTACAATCAAAATTCACAAAACTAACATAGAAAGGGATAAAGAATGGGTAAAATGTTTGTAACAAATATGAAAATGGACTATTATCAGGATCCCAATAACCAAAGTGAAAATAAAGAGAAATTATAGTAAAATTAAAATAATGGCTACTAATATATAACTATTAAATCAGAAATTTTACAGAAAACACTTTTTAAAAATGAAGATAGATGAAGCTTCAGGGAAACATGACAATTGAGGGAAAAGCAGTTTGGTAACACTTATTAAAATCCATAAAACTATGTTTTTTGACTCCATCCCATATTTGCAAATTTACTTTGCGGAAATAATTCAAAGAAGGAAGAGTGTGTGTGAGGGGGACTTTTTAAACAAAGTTGATCACCGCAGTGTTATTTAGAACATAAAAAACTTGAAAACTTGATGTTAACAATAACAAAACACTTAAGAGGATAGACAACAGTTAACATAAAATTAAGTGGAAAAAACAGAAGACAATGGAAATAGTGGATATGTACAGGTAATGGAATTATGAATATCATTTACCATTAATGTTTACTCAATGCATAATATTTTAAAATAGCTATAGAGTATACAAAATAATAGGGAAAAAGTTTTCCAGGCAAGACTGTTTGGAGTAATAATTTCCCTGAATGCGACTGGTTTTTCTGGACATCACAGGATGCTGCTATCTCTGATTAAACACCAACAGATACCAAGCTCAGCATTAGTATCATCAAAATCTTAGTGAACCAAGTTTTCATAACACAAAAACTGTGCTACAAACTAGTGGTTCTATCACTAACATATGCTTTTATTTAATATAAAGACACCCTTCAGGGCAAAGACCCAAAGTACTAAATGGAATATAACAAAACAAACTTATTTTTATATTGCTGGATAAATACTTACCAAGTAATAACTGTAGTATATAAAATATAAGTCCAAAGACACTGTTTGGCTGGTTTAATACACCATCCTTTCCAAAAATGGAACCCAAAAGACCAAATCCTCGACCCCATCTGTAAAATAAGGAAAACCAGTAACCCTATATTTGAGCTTTCCTATTTTTAAAATGTAAAATTATCTGAGAATGTTATGCCAATATACCCATCCCAATCTCTAAGCTGCCAATTTCCATATAGAGTCTCTTTTCCCAAAGGCCGGACAAAGTATTCTTTTTCTGATGGCATTAGTATTTGCAGAGGAAGGGCTCTCTCAATTTAAGCCAAGGTCTCTTAGCAGCAGCACCACTGACATTCTGGGCTAAATAATTCTCTGTGGTGGGGGGCTGTTCAGTGTATTACAGGGTGTTTAGCAGTATCTTTGGCTTCTACCTACTAGATGCTAGTAGCACCCCTCTGCCAGTTGTGACTACCAAAAGTGTCTTCAGCCATTGCCAAATGTCCCCAGCGGGCAAAATCACCCCCAGTTGAAAGCCATTGATGTAAGCTGTCTTGTTTCTTCATTCAAAGTATGTAGACTGAAATGTTGCTTCCTGACAAATTTCACCAGGATATGCATTAGGAAACATATCCTGGGAACATCTTTAAATGTAGAACAATATCAGAAACTATAGGTCTTTCCTATAATCATATCTCAAGAGTAAAAAACTGATACATTATTTGCCCTGTCAGTGTTTATCTGCAGTTTAACTTCAAATTTTGTATTGATTTAACATTTTCAGAATCTTTTATTTTTAAAAAAGATTATTAAATTCTGATATAAAAAAATTTGATACAAGTATCAAACTAACATTTCCCTCGGATAAGAACCTTACAAGGTAACTTTAACTCTGAATAAGAGTGCTTTTAAAATACTAAAAGGAAAGCAACCCGTCATGTTTTTAAGTCTGTAATGAGGCATTCAATGAAACCTAAACTTTGGTTCTGAAGACAAACTACCTGAAAACAAGGATAAAAAAGTGATAATTAGTCACACTACTTTAATAGTACTCAGTATCCAAGAAATAGAATGAAACCTCTTCATAATGATGATCTTGGGAGACAAGAATAACCCTAATTTTACAAGCAAGTGAGAGCCATGAAGATTTTTATTGTACAGTTATATATTTCAAGGAACACAGAATAATCTCCATCATATTTGTGTATTCTTTTACACATCAAATACTTATTGAGCATGATCTAGGTGCGGACAATGGGTCAGGCGCTGGGGTCCCGGAGTGAACAAGTCAGACCAGGTGGTGTCCTTGCAGAGCTCGTATTCCATCGAGGGAGAAGAAAACAGGTGAACAAAAGACTAAGTTACCTTCAGAAATGGACGAGCCTATTAATAGATACACAGGAAAATTGAGGGGAAAGCCAGAGCTTCTGAAAATTTAAAAGTGCATACAATCACTTTGTTAAAATGCAGATTTTACTTCAGCAGGTCTGCGGTGGGGCTTAAGACTCTGCATTTCCAAGCAAAACAAAACAAAATGCTCCCGGGTGATGCTCCTGCTTCTGGTCTGAGGATCACACTCAGCACCACTGCTCTAGATGGAGAAGCGGTGGAGGGAGCTACTCTAGCTAGATGGTCAGGGACGGCCCTTTTCAGGAATTAAATACTGAATGATGAAAAGCAGTAAATCTCATGAGGAATAGCAAGTACAAAGCCCTTGAGGCAGGAATGAGCTACGAGTCTGCAAAAGAAGGCCATCAAGGCTGACAGAGCAATGAGGGGAGACTGACGAGAATGAGGCATGAGTCCAATCGTTTACCTTACTTATGGCCTTGTTTGTAGGCCACGATGAAGAGCTTGAATTTTATCCTAATTGCAATGGAAATACATTCAGTGGCTGTATTAAATTAAATAAGAGAGTAATATAAGCTTATTTATGATCACTTGACTATTGTGTAAAGAACACACTTCAAGAGGGTAAGAGTACAGGGAGAAACCATATGTAATCAAACTTCTTAGCCCTACTCATCTGATGTAAGAATCCAAATGTAAATCGCCACCTTTGGCAATGGAAATAATTGGGCATACTGCCAAAATATTAATGGGTAAACAGAATTTTTATATCTTCCAAACACTGGTCTATGCCTAATTACTCACATAGGATCATGTAGATATTTTCCTTGAAAACAATGCAGTAATCCACAGAATGAAGATATCATTTTATAAAAATAATATATGCATAAGGTTTAAAAATCAAACACAGAAAGCCTTATAAAAGAAAATAGAGATGTTTCTTACTTCAGCTCTCTCCACAATCAGTTCTGATCCCCAGAGGCAACCACTGTGATGTCTTGTGTTTTTCTCTCCTATTTACTTCCAAATTTCTAAATAATACCCTAACATTGCTATTTCTTGATTTACGAATTCTAAATATTATCTTTCGACATTCTAATACGGTAGACCAGAATGTTGCTTTAAAAAAAAAACCACATTTTGTTATGGGAAGTTTCAAATGTATATAAACAAAGTGAACAGAACAGTGTTATAATAACCTATCAGCTAGCTTCGAAAACTGTGCCTTTCTTATTTTATCTCTATCTCTACCTACTCAACACTTGATGATTATATTTAGTTTTAAGGTAAAATTTACATACATTAAATGCATAAATTTTAACTGTATAATTTTGACAAATGCATACACCCGAGTAATCCTGGTATACTAATTGTAATCCTGGTATACTAATCCTGGTATAGTAATTCTGAAATACTTACCAATAGTGAGAAATGAGAATTTAAGCACCTTTCATAAACAAACAAACAAAAAAACCCACGCCAACACCATATAGAGTGCTTCCATCTCCCAAGTTAAACTGTTAGTCCCTTCCCATCAATCCACACTCCTCTCCACCCATGAGCAAGAGGTACACAGCTGGCCAGGCTTGTAGTAGGAATCCAGCCTCGGAATCAAAGTTAGATCTCTGGTCCCCGGGATCACAGTGCTATCTATGTTCTTTCCCTTAGGTCACACTACGTTATAAAATGCAATTACCATTCCAGCATTTTCAACCAAACAGAGTAATCACTTAATTCCTTGATAAATACAATTAACAAAGTTTAATAAACTTTGATAAAGTTATGTAATAACTGTTAGCTGGTCAACTCACAAGCAAAGTAGACTGGCATTACATAAGATTATTTTCCCCGGAAAGGAGAATAAGAGTAGATTTTCATAAAGGACACTACCTTTTAAAATTGCTAGAGGTGGTATAAATAATTTAGAAACCTTTAGTTAATCTTTTTTCAGGTTGGAACATTTGAAAATACTGTAGTTTTCCCCCACTTCTAAAAGCTATACAGAACTATATGAAATACATTTTATGTGCTAACTTTATCCCTGGCTTTAGCTTAGTTTCTAACCATTTTCTCCTTGTCCCATCTATATTCAAAGTTCTATTATATTTATCTCCAGGGCTGCCCTGAGTAATTTTTGGAACAAGGTGAAACATTAGCCAATTGAGCAAAAAGAAATGTTTCCTAAAGTAATAGACACTTATACAGATGTTCATTTTGCTTCAGTAATATCAGTGAAGTGATCATACAAAAGATAATTTCTCTTCAATCTTCCTTTCTAAAAGATGTTTATTTTTGACCCAAATATCCTTTGAATATTTTGTATTGGGTACATAAACAATCAACACCACTTCCCTAAGGTATAAATGAGAAATTGTTAAAAGGTTTCTAAACACTCCTAATTTTGCCAGAAACAACAAATCTTAAAACCAAGAGCTGTCCAATTCCGGTCTCCTAGGTCCCTGAGGTTAAATCTAAGACATTATTTGCCTCTTTCACTCTCATTCGCTCATAAGTGTACAGGGGAGTTTTCCAAAGGCTACATGCGTGACGTGTGATACTGCAACAGATGGAATGTAGGAGCTGATGTGAGAATTCAACAGTCTTCTATTACAGCACACACTAAAGAGATCTGCAACAAGACAGACAACCCCAGTCTTTTCACCTATTGTGTGTGTGTGTTTGGGAAAAGTTACTTTTCATAAAAATATTTTAACATGTAATGGGTTTATTGTTATTTTTAAATGAATGAATACGTATTTAAATAATTTCTCAGTTTTTAATTTCTAATACAATAATTTCCCAAATTTGACTAATTTCCAAAAAAAAACACATCACAGTTCAGACAAAATTTTTAACACTGGGGTGAGATTAAGTAGGGAGAACTTCAAAAAATTAATTAATAGAAATAGAAAAACAATCCTAAAATTTGTATGGAACCACAAAAGACCCTGAATAGCCAAAGCAATCTTGAGAAAGAAGAACAAAGCAGGAGGCATCATGTTCCCTGATTTCAAACAATACTACAAAGCCATAGTAATCAAAACAGTATGGTAGTGGCATAAAAACACACACATAGATCAGTGTAACAGAAGAGAGACCACAAATAAAAGCACCCGTATATGGTCAACTAATTTACAACAAAGAAGCCAAGAATATACAGTGGGGAAAGGATAGTCTCTTCAATAAATCGTATTGGTACAACTGGACAGCCATGTGCAAAGAACAAAACTAGACCACTATCTTACACCATACACAAAAATTAACTCAAAATGGATTAAAGACTTGAATGTAAAACTTGAAACCATAAAACTAGAAAAAAAGAAGCGGTAAGCTCCTTGACATGAGTCTTGGTGATGATTTTTTGGATTTAACACCAAAAACAAAGGCAAAAAAAGCAAAAATAAACAAGTGAGACTGCATCAAACTAAAAAGCTTCTCCACAGCAAAGGAAGCCATCATCAAAATGAAAGGCAACTTACTGAATGGGAGAAAATATTTTCAAATCATATACCTGGATTAGGGGTTAATATCTAAAATATATAAGGAATACAATAGTGAAAACAACAAACAATCTGATTAAAAAACGGGCAGAGGACCTGAACAGACATTTTTCCAAAGAAGACACAGAAGATGGCCAACAGGTTCATGAAAAGGTGTTCAACATCACTAGCCATCAGGGAAATGCACATCAAACCACAATGAGATATCACCTCACATCTGTTAGAATGGCTATTATCAAAAAGACAAGAAATAATAAGTGTTGGCAAGGATGTGGAGAAAATGGAATCCTTGTGC